GCAGTGTATGTTTCATATAATATAATGTTCACAGTGAATGTTCAGAATGCATTTCACGAGGAAATGTCTTTATTCTGCATCTTTTTGTTTTTATCCCACGTTGGAATTTGAATCTCTGTCACATTTACTATAGATTTCATACCACTATTACGTTTCCTTTTTGCCAAACACAATATGTCAAATTGTCAACTTCAGCGTAGTTGTTCAAATGAAATTTCTTGCAAGTAATTTGCTTGATGGCTTGCCTTGAGTATTCGGCGTATGTCAAACTCATCTAGTTTGGTTGTAATATAAATGATTGTAATTATTCTGTAGAGTAGAATACTTTTTTTGTCTACAAGTTATTGAGAAAGATTCTTTTAATATTAGAGACACTTGGTTTCGTGGGTGTTATCTCCTAAATGTCTGACCTTTATATATGGCCTGTTACCTCACTCTTCACACAGAGGGCGCTCGCTCCCAGCATTCTTCACGCTCACAATTTTTTGTGTGGAGAGTGCTGTTACCGATCGCTGTTACCTGTGACCTACTTACGCTACCTCAAATATTAGCGCCACCAGCGGTGGAAGGTTAAAAACAGGATAACCTACAGCAAAAACGAAGCAAACATCGCCATTGAGCTACATACATGTGACGTGTTTTGATTTCTGGATATCAAATTAGAAAGGTGTCAGGTCTTGGAATCTGGTTGCTCGATTCAAGACTGGTACTTCTATATTTATACAACAATAAGAACTATCGATGGCAGGTATAATGGACGTTGACGAAGTATACACAGTTGACCATCGAGGGGATCACACCATGACAGTGGAACAAGAAGATGACTTTCCTGGTCATGGCAAAAGACAGGAAGTGTACGGATCTCCGCTATCTAGTTATCGTCGGGACGGCCGTGGCGGTAAGGACGCAGAGGACTATGCTGCAGAATCAATGGCCGCTGACATGGACGAATGGATCATATTCGACCCCAATAAACACGATTCTGGATTACTTGTTGATTTTTTGGAAACCAACGCCCCGTCAAAAGTCCTCAGGTATTCTACTTTTTTGCCTCCATGTGGTATGGAAAGTGCATTCGTTGACTAGCAGAATCTGTACAAAGAAAATTTTGGCAAAAAACGGGGAACGTGGAGAATACATATATAACAAATTGATAGAGGAATAACAACAATAAATCAAAGAGATTCACAGTCAATTCGTCCCAATTCACTTTCGTCCCAATTCACATTCGTTCATTTTTTAAATTTTTAGTCAGCATTACGATCTTGAACGGGGTCAATTTCTATGCCAACTGTTACTGACACGCTAACTAATAACTCCACGTTGCGTGAACGGTGTATTTGTATTTATTAACTAATAACTTGTACGTTGAATGTCCGGTGTATTTGTATTTATTAACTAATAACTCTACGTTGCACGTAAGGTGTATTTGTATTTATTAACTAATAACTCTACGTTGCACGTAAGGTGTATTTGC